TCCATGTTGGGAAGCGCCGCGCGTCCTCGTTAGCGGGATCCGGGCGCCGCGGGCTGAGCCCCGGGCTGGGCGCTGCGAAGATGGAGGCCCCGCTGCGGCCTGCCGCCGACATCCTGAGGCGGAACCCGCAGCACGACTACGAGCTGGTGCAGAGGGTCGGCAGCGGCACCTACGGGGATGTGTACAAGGTGAGGCCCGGGTCCGGCCTGTGAACGGGGGGCGCCCCCGGGATGCGCCGGACCGTAGCGTCCGGCCGGAAAGCGGCCCGGACCCCGCGGCACCGTTCCGAGCACCCTGAGTTCCCCGCCGGTTCTAATGCTGCCGACGGGCACGGCTAACAGCACCTTCCAAACCACCGCTGAGCTTTTTTTGTGGTTTTTAAGGCGTGTGTTTGGTATTGAAGTGAGTCTGAGGGATGTGCTGGTGTTAGCGTGGAAAAAATGCTTCGCGGAAGGCGGCAGACGGGAGAGAATACTGCAAATCCAGACGCTTGCATTCTAAATTATTGTTATGGACGAGCTTGACTTTAAAAAGCTCGGTGGAAGCTGACTTTGAAGTGTGAACTGTAAGCAGTCTGGTTCTCGAGTAAAATGATACGTGTGTAACATGACGGCCTGTAGGAAGATGTTTTTAGAGACCGGTGAGTTGGCTCAGCAGGTAAAGGCGCTTGCTGCCAAGCCTTTCCACACCGGATCGGTCCCCGGATTCTCCCGGTGGAAACAAATCGTTCTCTGACTTCTACTTGTCGCCCCCCCACACACACACACAGTCACACACAAACCCAGTAAATAAGTAAAATGTAATTAAATTTAAACAAATTTAGAGAAAGATGTTTTTCACCTGGCAGAAGCTTTAGGCAATTGTGCCTGGTTGATAATAATGTTTACTATTAATAATAATAATTACAATATAATTACTTATTGGGTTTTCCTACTCCTGTAGTTCCTCTCTGGGATTTTATAGCATTCCATAATCCTGAGTGGATAGGAGCTGTTGTCATTTTAGTGCGCTTTTATATTAAGATCAATAACAATAAATTTGTAATTTGCCTTTCCAACAACAAAAGTCATGCCGTTGCAAAGCACACCAGTTTCTTAAGTCACCTATGATTTTGAAGGGCTCAGAAGAAAAAGACTGTTCAAGATTCCCTTATGACTTTTGTTCTTTGTCCCCAAAGGGCAGAATTACTGCAGTTCCTGATGGGTATTAAGGAACAGTGTCTTTTTGCAGCACCTTAATATTTTGGCCTATGTATCAGTCAGGTCCAAAGAGCAATCTACATAGAGGCCAAATGGCCTTGTTTCATGAGTAATCGCTTGGTTCCCCTGAGGTCTGTTGACTTGCATAGGTGGTCCTAAGCAAGGAAAACGTCTTTATTCTCTGCGTGTTTCTAAGTTTGTTAGTAGTACCTCTGAGTGTTAGCAGTATACTGCTAGCTCTGGATTCTGAGGCGAGGGCTCTCTGGCTAGACTTTTTACCCCATCTAACCAGACACTTGAGTCTAACCACTGTTCTAGGTACTGGAGCCCCAACAGTGAGCGGGACCCTGACTCTGGCCTTGAATACCTTCTGACAAAAAAAAGTGCAGGAGGACAGTGAAATCTCCTTCCTTGTGTGAAGTAGGGTAGTTGGCGCACACTGGGTTAACTGCACATTTAGGAAACGCGTGCTTTTTAAGAAACAGAAACTCCTGTTTGCTTTCTCAGGCCCATTCTAAGTCATCTTTGTCTATGATTCACTGTAAGTTAGACCAGTTCAGTTCAGTTTGTGGTAATTTTAGTTCTTGCTCCCCACCCCCCTTGCTACCTTCCCCTACTACAGAAAATTTAAAGGGAATACATTCCCCATGAGGATCTTGCCAAGACTTCCGCGTTTTTCCTTACAGAGTAGCAGCCAGGGCAACTCTCTGGAAGGCTTGTATTGTTGCCTCAGAAAGCGAAGTTTGTGTTAAAAGGTCAGCTGCCTGCCTGCTTCTTCTCCAACTGTCTCCTGACCTGCAGCTCCCTTCCACAACTCATCAGTCAGAGGCTAAATACTTACACACACACACACACACACACACACACAGCCCCGCCTCCCACCTTTCCCAGCATGCTCATATCATGTGTATTCTCTTCATTAACTAGGCCAGCCTCTGCATCCCAAACAGCCATTAGACATCCCCCTGCCCCTTCTTCTGTTCGGTTGTGCTCTAGTTACCTGGGATCACCTTGCTCTCCCAATCTCCACCTGGTGCCACCACTGCTGTCCAGGAAAGCATTATTCTTTTCTAGTCAGCCCCAGCCCCTCACCCTGACCCCTGACCTCTGACCTCACTCACCACTCTCCTCTCCCGTTCTGCTCAAACCTACACTGGCTTGCCCGCTGTTCCTTAAACAATAAACATCTTCCAACTTTGGAGTCTTTGTTCTTGCTGCTTCCTCTGCTCAGTATCTTTCCCCAGACGGTAAGTGTCTTGCTTCCTTCCTTTCGGAATACCAGACCATCTTTGTTCTTACTTCTGCCAGATGCAGGGTTTGACTTCTTTTTCTTGTCTGTTTTGATCTAATAAGACACTTCACACCGACAGGGATCCTAACACCACCACCCCCGCCCCGTTTTCTTGTATCTTAACACGTAGAATTCGACCAGAAAACAGAGTACATGATTCCTAAAAGGTTGACAAAGGGATAAATGACTCTGGGACAGAGTCTCAGCACTTAATTTTGATCTCACAACAGTGTGCACATAACTCTCTGTGTGTTCCTGCACCGCTCTTTATGATGCTGCATGTCTGTTTTCATTACAAACTTCCATAACTTGCGTTTCCTGGGAAAGCATCTCTGACGAGCTGTTTCATAGTATGCTTATCATCAGTGATGTAAGCACTGTGGAATTTTGGGAGTTTATACTTACTCCTTCATATGCCTAGAGCATGAAACCGGAATCTTTTAAGGCAGAGTGAGTGTGTTGTGATGGTGTATTTTTAAGAAACTGAAAATCCTCGGGAGCTCTAAAAGTGTTTTCCACTCCTGAGGGAAACTAGTAAAATAATCTCAGTGGAAAATAGTGTAGTCTCTTCTACCACTTACCTTGCCCTAGGTTCTTTTTATTCCTGAGCTATAGTATGAAGCAATGACTTTAAAAAGCCTTGAGGTTCTTTGTGAATCCCATTCACACCCTGCAAACACACAGGGTTTGTTGCAGCCTCCTGCCTTTCCTAGAACTCCCCAGGAGGTGCTCACTCCATCCTAAATGGCTGTTCCCTGCTTGAAAGAAGAGGAATGCAAAGATTCAGATAGATGCAGGAAGTCTTTGAGGGCAGAACAGGAAGTGGTGCTGGGCAGACAGCAGAGAGGAGAGTGTGGTGGATGATGGATGAAGGACCAAGTTCCAGCGAGGCGGATCCTGTCTGTAAAATTGAACACTTGCTAACAGGAAGGGGAACTCTGAAGATAAAGTGTCTCCCACCTTCTGTCCACAAGTGATTTGGGCACACGGAGCGGTCGTCAGGTCCTTATCGTGGTTCACAGCTAACAGCAGGAGCCTTCTACTCTTTTGTACCAAAATTGCTTCCAGTTTAGTTTCCAGAGAAATTCTAACATCTTTCCAGCTTTTATAGGCTGTAAATTTAGAGTAGAGTGCCCATGTACTTCTTTTAAACTCTTATTAACTCTTTGGTTTATGTAAGTGTGACATGCTTTGTTCCAGGACAACTATACTACAGCAAACAGACTGATTCTTAGGAAATATATGTTTAATGATGTTAGTGGAAGTAGATTGCCTGAATATAATAAATACTGCTAATAATATAGCCACCCCCCCCAGTCTTTTAAATGTTTTTAAATGCATCTGTTTGTTACTTACATTGTGTTATAATGCCAATTATGATGTAGCATGTGTTTGGAATGACCATACATTTTTTCTAAAATTACTATTTTTAAAAGGATTCGTTGAATGAATCTCTAAGTTTTACATTAGTTATTTTCAATTTTTAAGTTTCGTTTGCCATTATAAATGACATAATTTGTGTAGAAATCCTTTGTCATATGGTCTTACCATTTCTGTGGATTCTTCTGGAAGGAAGCTAGATGTATTAGATCTGCAGTAATGAATCCCTCTTTTCTTCAAGGCCTCCCTTTCTCTCCCCCAAGCCAACAGTTAGGATCTTAGAATGACTTTAGGCATTTTGAAAATATGCTAGGATCCCACTGTAAAGAAACAGCTTAGTTCATCCCAGCACTGGATAGGAATAGAATTGCCGACTCTGTGGCGGGGTCTGGAGATGCAGGGCCTGGGGAGGAGAAAGTACGCTATTGAAAGGAGTGTGTAATTTAGTCAGGAGAAGAGACATGCAAGCATCATAATTTGGTAAGTGCCATAGTAGATATGGAAGAAATCATACTCAACTGTCTTTTATTAGGGATGGGGCAGGGTGGTCCTGGGGAAGAATAACAAAAGAAGGATCAGTAACTGGAGTTTTAGGGGTTTTTTGTTGTTGTTTTTGTTTTCTACAGGTTTGTTTCAGGTTGACAAGATGGGACAAGAGATTAGATTGTGGGACTGGTATATCAAGCAGCTAGGAACCTAGGGACTGGCAGGAGTCTTGATGAGG